TATATATCCAATTACTTTTGAGCACCAGCTATAGTCTCCTTAATCCCCTCATCCCAGAGTATTGCACTTTTCCTACCACATAACCAATCATGAGGTCAGGGCTTCAGTGTTACCTATTCTTCCAGGCTCACCATTCTTCCTTTTAGCCCTTCTTTTTAATAAGGCTTTAGATACAAACTAAATAATAAACACATGCTACATCTGTTAATAGTAAGCAGAAGTAATTTACTAATATTTCCACAGGAAACAAGCCCTAAACCTTCCCTATGAAATTGATACATCACTCATGCTATCTATTTAAAATTTTACTTTTTGCCCTGGTTCATCTCAACTTGAATATGTCAGACCTGTGGGATTATTTATTATGACCATTCTTGTCTGGTCTCCAATTTAAATATTCTGCCATTTGAGCAGAGAGAAGCGTGCTCTCTGTTTTTTTCAAACCTTCCTCTCCTTCTCTTTGGGTCCTGAACTCCAAGGAGAGTCATTACTTTGTCATTACCCACTGATTGTGTCATGAAAGCCAAACTCGGGAAAAGATGGAAATGATATTTGTAGTCACAAAAGCTGTGGAGATGGAAGTTAAAAGACACAGGATACTCCATTAGCCTCACTTTGAAATAAAGCAGATACAGGTTCAGACATCTAAAAGCAACTCACACGTTTGCACATCATCCATTATTCTTGCATTTAACAGGTTGCCAAAGAGTCTACATTTTCTGGATTTATGAGGTTGGTATTTAGCACATTCCACAGCCAAAATAACAACGAAGGTTCATCATCACTGGTTAAATTAGCCTCATGAAAATGTTCTTGGTAAAAGGTTACAAAAATGAGTAAGAGATCTAACCAAGCAGCACATTTATCACTGTAATTTTGGAAAGGCATTCTGACAATTTGAATGCCTTTGGCTAAAAGGTAGATATTTAGATAAAAATTAGTAATTAAAGCCTAAATGACATGATTAGGTCTTCTTTTTGATATGAAAAGGGGACAATAAATACACATACAATCTTTAAATTGTCCTTTTGGAAAAACTAATGCCAAGGACACCATACCTCATAATAACACTTCTTATTCAAAATTTAAAATACCACAGCTACATTATATGCAAACTTGGTCAGGTGAGTGTTTCATATCTTTCAAAAACGGGCAGTTGCCCTTCTCAGATTCTTTGAGTTTTGGATCATTGAAGGCTAGAATATAGTTGCTCTTATTTTTATGTTTTATTATCTGCCTTTAACCTTGTTTTCTCTGTATATTAAAGATAGGACATTTATGATCTTTGCAAAAATTTCATTTCAAGGAATTTAACCTTTTTCTCTTGTTATAATTTTTTAATGTTTGTGTAACCTAAAAGTGCATATAGTTCCCCTTGTGTTTAATTTTAAGCTAGTAAGCTCATAACTTTTCTGGGGGAGATATTGAAAGAATTTCTTTTTAGTTCAACAGGTCTGATTGCAATTTCTGTGTCTACAGATTTAAAGTCAAGTGGGTTTCTTCTCTTGTATTTTTGACAGAAACCAGGAGATAAAAGAACTTGGTGAACTTTCTCCACACTGGGACAACCTAAGGAAAAATGTCTTGACCCACTGCGATCAAATGGTGAACATGTACCAAGACATTCTGACAGAACTCAACAAGGAGACAGGTACAACAATGTCACTTAAGTTGCATTCATTTCACATACGTCATATGAAAACAATAACAAACAGTGTTTATGCAAATAAAGAGCCAAAGATTTGTTTAAATATCATTTCTGACTATACTATTTGTGAATCTAAAATAAGGAAATAAAAATTGTGCCACTCTACCTGATAGTATTGTTATGAAAATAATTAAATATTTCAATAATTGCATTTTTGAGAAAACTATAAATACAAGTTGTGTATTTTTTGCCTCAGGTTCTTGTACCATTTTTGTTGCATGAATCAATCAATACACACACTTTAAATAATTTATTTATCTACCAATAAGGTTTCATTTTTTTCTTCAAGGGTCCTCTTTCAAATCAAGCAGCAGCAAAGGAGATAAAACGTTGGAATTTGTTCCAGTCAATCTACACCTACAGAGAATGCATGTGCACAGCCCTCACTTGAAAGGTATTCTAGATTGTCTTTATAAATGGAGAATTATCTTACAATGTATACTTTAAAAAGCTTGACTATTGACAGAACTCAAAAGTTTAAGTGTTATACAACAGTGAAATAAAACATCCAAAGCTCATAGTGATCCTGAATAGTACAAAAGAGACTTTGATATGTCTGATTCTGGATTTCTGGGCCATACTCTTGGACTCTGATGCCTAAACTAAGTAGAAATAAAAATGTGCCAAGTGTGTCGTAGATCCCTCAGACAGGATACAATAGTCAACAGTTGTGCTACTGTTTGAGTTAGAAATGAGAGAGAGAGAGACAAACAGACAGACAGAAACAGAGAGACACAGAGAAAGAGAGACAGCAAGAGGGAGACATATATAGAGAAAGACATACATAGAGAGAGACAGAGACAAAGAATGAGACAAAGACAGACAGAGACAGACAGACAGAGACAGACAGACAGAAACAGAGAGAGACTTGGCCTCGACCTGTCTTTTGAAACCATAGCCCCAACATGGATTAACATATCGTTTCTCTTAGAGATCACTGCCAACAGAAATGCTCTCTCTTGTTGGAGCAAGTCATTGTAATAACACCAATGTGTAGAAGTAGAAAGTGGAAGAATCTTTTGATGTACTTAGTTTGTGATGAAAAAATGCATCAGGGTTCCCTCACCACGTGTCATGTCCTCTGTAGTGACTGATGTGGCATCCTGTTACCGTTCAGCACAGTCTCTTGCCATTCCTTGCCACAATTTAAAATCTTCTCATCCAACTCTTTACTTATTACTCTGTCAATTGTTCCTATGTGTCTGGAATGACTATATGTCTTCATTTTCCAGCTAAAGTCCCAGATTATTAAGTCTCTGTCAGTGTTATTGATGCCACCTTATGCTTTCATCATCAGAAATTTCCTCTTTTAAGTAACAAATATTATTAACATCCTTCTAGTACCTATTTTCTCAGCAACCAAAAATAACTTTAAATCATCAAATCTCTCATAATAAGTATATCGACACAACCATTATAGAGATGTATAAAGACATATTCTGATATCATGTTTTATAACCATTGTCAGCAATGCAGTGGTTGCAAGTTTAAAAAGGCTGAAATGTGTGAATCCTTGTGTACTTCTGGATGAAATATAAATAGTTGTAGAAGTGATAAATATCAAGGTTTCTCCAAAAACTAGAAGTAAATCTACCATATGACCATCAGTCAGTCATTCTTGGACTTATATCCAGAGAGATTAAAATTCAGTTCTCTAGGAGGTATTAGTATGCCTACATTTACTACAATATTATTCACCTATGCACAAACATGGAAGTAACCTAAATTTTTATTGAAAGACAAATGAATAAAGAAATGGTCCATATAAGGGGCCGGGGAGATAACTCAGTATCTAGAATAAGCATTTGCCTGGCAAGTACAAGGGCCTAAGTTCAATCCCCAGTTCCACAAAAGAGAGAGAGAGAGAGAGAGAGAGAGAGAGAGAGAGAGAGAGAGAGAGAGAGAAAGAAATTGTCCATATCAAAAAATTTGATATCAAAAAATTGAAATTGTCAAAATATTGACTATGTACCAAGAATAGAATACTATTCGCTTTTTAAAAAGGAAGGAATTTCTGCTTTTTTTTTCACAATTGGGTTGCGCTTAGGGGACATCATATGAAGCAAAATAAATCAGTCACAGTAAGACAAACACCACATGCTATTTCTTAATGAATCTGAAATACTGAATCTTGTAGAAACAAAGACTAGGATGTTGTTTCCAGGCAATACTTCTATCAGGCAAGGAGCAATTATTATCAAATTAGCCTTTTATATTATACTTCTTTCTGGAAAATGAAAGAACCATCCACAATGTGTTGTTTTCCAAGATATGTGAAAAATAGTCTGAGTGAAATAGGATGGAAACAGCATGTTCAGCTCCTGATGCTCAGATTTGAACAGTAGAAACTGGAAACTACAAAAGATTCAGAGGTGCAAGTAAAGTTTAATACTAATTTGCTGTGTTTGTTATATGTATCAGCTTCCTAGAGATGCTATCATAAAATACAAGAAATTAGGATCTTAACAAGTAAAAATTTATTGCCTGAGAGTTCTGGAGGATGGTGGTAAGAATTCACAGCATCAGGAGGACCATGCACTGTCTGTGGCTTTTACAGGGAAAACCTTCCTTGACTCCGCTGGTTTCTGCTAGCTCCTGGAAACCCCTGGTTTCCTGGGCCTTCTGACTCACCTCACGGGTCCTCCATTTTTATGTGGGCTCTCCTGTCACTTTATTGATCTTCTCTTCTCTCTGTGTGTATTTGTATCTGCATCTAAACTTCTCTATTAGGACATTGGTCTCAGGACCAGAGAGATGGTTCAGTAGAATAAGGACCTGAGTTCAATCCCCGATTCTGGAAAAAAAAAATACATTGGTCATATTGTTCTTGGGTCAACCCTGATAAACTGAGTTAAGCTTGACTGTATGTGCATGTTTCAATATTACAGATCTATGGAACAACCCATAAATGAGAGAATTTTTGACAAAGCTGTAGAAAGGCTAGTTGTTCTTTTTGAAAATCTAAGGAGGAAAGGAAGGAAAGAATTGGGTATCTTAAGAGAGCTAATGGGAAATATATTGAATTACACTGTACACTTACTTTTCCCCAAAACTATTCATGTATAACATATAGATGCAGTATAAATACAATTGCACACAAAGCATGTTATATTATCAGGCTAATACTTTAAGAATATGTGCATAATAAAGCTTAGAAGTTATTATTCGGAATTTGGAATTAAGATAAAGAAGGTACTAGATGTTCACTGCATTTCTTGACAGAGATTGAAGACCACTAAGATTGGGGGGCCTTGTCTACCACTTTGTTAGTTTTAATGAAGTTACTTGAACTGTGTCAGTGTTGGCTTTCTTAATTCTACAATAGAAGCCTTGAAAGTTGTAATAGATGGTGGTAAGCCAAGTTTTATACTTGTTTGTATAACATACTGAACAGGTTTTGAATTGTAGTTAAATGTATTTAAGATTCATGGTGTCTGATTTGAATGTTCAGCTAAATTACAGAGACCATTTTGTAAGTTAATGATGCGAGATTGATAAGCCCTGGTATTTCACTGGTGAGTTATTTGGATGCAGTCTATAGAGTCTGCTTTCTAAAAATTCTTGCCCTTAGTAAATTATGTCTGCTCATATTTGATTAATAAGTCTGCTACATTTAGAGAAGCAATTTTGCAAATAATGGCAGATAGATTACCCAAAAAAGACTAGTTCTCTAAACGAGCTACTGAGCTGAACTCATGTTGTGATATCAGACACTGCCAAATGAAATAACCTCCATGTAACGACTGGTATCCCCAAGCCCATGAAGTTAATTTTTCATCCTCACTTGTTATCTAAATTGAAAGTAACAATTAAAATATCCATCACAGTTGGGATCTAAGCCAGCAGTGATGATAGAAAAAAAATTAAAAAATAAGTTCTTCTGATATAAATTAATACATTTCATTTTCATAGAACATAAGTTACATATATTATAAAATGTGGATTTTTATGATACTATCACAATCTGCTTTGGTTATTTTATGTATTGTAGGTAAGAGTAAAGTATTATAGTTTTCTATAAAATGTGATACATTCAAATTAAAGCTTTTTATCATGGAGTTTAGTTCTAGTTTACAGCTAGTAAGTTTACTTTTATAGTACCTGTGTAATAGATTTGTTGTAATTTATGAAGTGAAAACTTTTTATGGAACTTTGCATCATTAAGAGCACAAGTAACTTGAAGGTTTTGTTCTCTGTGTACATGGGCTATGTAGCCATGATTTTACTCTGCAAACCTATTCTTTTACATAAACATGATTGGATGACCAGAGTTTGGGGCAAGTAGGTATGAAGGACAAGGAGCATGAGGTAGGGTGTCTTAGGCCTTGTCCGTTGATTCATTAAGGGTCAAGAGCCAGTTTCTGCTAATGAGCTTACATGTGCTCTAGGGAACTCAACACTGGCCTGGAAAGGCCATAGAAAGGAAAATCAGAGACAGGACAGGGAAAGAGAGCAGAAGAAGAAAGAAGAGACACAGCTACTGTCTTGGCTTGCCAGGTCTTGATTTAGGCTGCCAGCCTACAGTTCTTGTCAAACACACACACACACACACACACACACACACACACACACACTTTTTTAAAATTTGTTGTCTATGTATTTCAAGTAGGGTTCTATGAGATGCATTGAAAGAGCTTTAAGTAATGCATATTTTACTTTTTAAAATAATTTTATTGAGAAACAAATAGCAATGAGAGTTTCAAAACCAATTACTAGCACAGTTTCAATAATTAATACATTGCATATTGTTGTCTTAGTGGTTATTCATTGTACAAGACGTAGGCATGATATCCTGTCCACAGACACTACTAGAACAAATCTCTCAATTAATTGAATTAAGAGAATGCAGCTGTATATCTATTCTAATTATTTTGAATATACAGATACCAAGTGGTCATTCATTTTATCCCCCTTTTTTGTTTAGTTTTGTCAGAAATGTGTATTCCATTGTCACTTAAATATTGTAGGTGCATGAATTCAGCAAAATATTCAATATAGTCTAGTAATCCAGAATAGTAGTGGGTTTTCCGTAAGACTGGAAATGTCAGAAGTTGTTGACTTGAGTCTTTTACACCTCAGCATATTAATATGGCTTTACTTTTTATACCTCATTTTTATACTTTTCTGCTGGATGGTTAAGACCAAGATAAAGCAAGACCTATATAACAAAAAATGTAACTTTTGTATCTGATAAGGTCATTCAAGTCCCCTTAGGACTTATCCCGAAACCCTATACCGCACTTCGTAGATCCTTTGTCAGTGTCAGCCATGTGGATGAGTCATGGCCCTTGCTTGACCAATTTACTCTCTGTGAAAGCCTGAGAGAATGTTTTCTTTCCATGTGACTCTCCTTAGGCACACTCTAAATCATCAATCACGTTCCTCTGTGGCCCC